ACAAGGAAAGCTTTGGACCCTAAAGTATGGTTTTCTATCAGGAAGCCTTAGACAATTGTTTCCATTGGCTTCTGCGTGTGGCTACTTTGTGGACATTATATATTATAGGTCACATCAGAAGAACCTCCACATTATGAAGTATGCCCCTATGCTCTGACACCTCTTCTCCAAAGAGCCCAGTGGAGGTGGGATAGACAAAAGCAAGCACAATGCTTATTTCTTGTCAGGATTCTGATTTCATTTTCAATCATAGTCTCCACTGAAATAGGACTGAAGCTATGTTCTGTATACATATGAAACACAAAAATTGAAATGTGTAGATGGGGTGATGAGGTCCCCATGGACTCTTGAGGAACAAATAGTGGAAATGGGAGCATAAGTCTAGGGATGAAGCCAAAATGCAAAGATCTTCAGGCAGTGGTGGCTACACTTAAAGGAAGGGAGACAGTCACTAAAGAGTTGCTTCAGGTCAGTACTCATTAAAAGTCAAGAACACAGAGGCTCCCACTTCTCTCTGGGAAGGACATCCCATGGCCATCTTGGTGAGAATGAAATGAGAGCACAAAATAGAGGGGGGTTTTCTGGCCAATAGTGCACACTAGTGATGTTAAGGCTTACAGGGAAGGGAGAGAGTTCTCAGAAATATGCTCAGAGCTTCTGTTGCTCATTCGCTGTATGACCTTGGACAAGTCACTTCTCTCTGAGCCTCAGTTTTCTCCTCTGCAAAATGGGCTAGATGGTATCTAAGGTTACTTCTGACTCTAAATCAATTATCCTAAGTGTTTATATTTGGGAGTCAATATATTTAAAAACTCAGAGGACCAGGATAAAGGACTCCTTTGCCTTCCTTTTCTTCTGCTTCATCCTTCATGGCCCTGCTCAAATGCCTTCTCTTTCATAAAGCCTCCCTTCCCTGCTCTAAATCAAACTTTTGTATTTCTCCTACTGATTGTCTCCATTTGGCCCTATGCCTCTTATACTTAGGAGCTGATTAAAAAATAGTGGTTTAATTGAATTATGGTTACTTGTGTGCACATCTCATCCTTCTGAAAATATTGCAGAGTTTGGAAAGAGCAAGGATTGCTCTTTGTTCTTCTGTCTCTCCCCTGGGCAAATGGCTCATTTTTTCCTCAGGCAATCCTATTCTGCCTAAGGATGGGGTTGTAAGATCACTGCCATGGGTGTCACCATTTCTTCAGTCTGTCTACAAATATGGGTACAGGGCATGCTGCTTATTTTATACCACTCCATTCTGCCAGTGAAGATAAGTCAAGAAGGATGACCAGGCAGGATCATGCCTGTTTGCTTTGCATATCTAGGGAGGATGAGACAGGCTAGTGCATGTGAACCATCACTACCCATGCACATATTCAGTAAAGAGAGCTAAGTTCTTAAGGACACATTTTCTGAGGAGACCAGATACTGGGTTCGTTGATGCAGATTAGGAGAACATAGGAGCAGGGTTCTCTTCTTGTAGGTCTGTGCATAAAATCTGCAGCAACCCTCAAATACTCCATTGGCATGAACACACACACACCCACACACAGATATATATATACATATATATATATATATATGTATATATATATATACATATATATATGTATATATATATGTATATATATATATACATATATATATATGTATATATGTATATATGTGTATATATATATGTATATGTATTTGATCCCTTTTGCATCTTCTATTGATTCTGGGGGTCTGTGGTTGTGTGAAAAACTCTAGTCAAATCATTCCAGTATCTTATGGAGGGTTGAGTGAAGAAACATCTGGAATGAAGTGACCTTGAGCATTTGCCATGTCCAATCTGAACTCAGCATGTTCCTCCTAAGTCATCTCAGCTTCCTAACATCCCTTATTCCAGTGGAGGGCAACAGTGCCCTTCCAATCACTCAGGGTAGTAACCTGACCTACTGCTCCTCCCTGACCCTCCAGAGCCAATCGGTTTCCAAGTCTTACTTGTTTTGCTTTCACAATCACTCTCTCTTCACCACTTATACACTCACCACCCTAGTCCAGGACCTCATCAGCTCTCCCTCACATGACTAGTGCAGTAGCCCCCTCCCATGCATCCTCCAAACAGCAGCCTCATGCTCAAATTTGATGTCAGCATTGTCCTTTATGAAAACCTCTAGTGGCTCCTGATTGCCTGGAGGAAAAAAGATGGATTGCCTGCCCTATTACTCCATGGCTTCCATGGTCTGGCTCATCTATCTTCATGACCTTTTTTTCCTCAGTGTACTTTCTAGCCAAACTAGAATTGGTTATAATTGTAGGAGCCTAGGGTCATAGGTTTAGAGGTGGAAGAGGCATTATAGGCTGCCGAGTCCAATCCTCTCATTTTACAGATGAAGAAACAGGCACAGATGAAGTGACTTTTCCAGTGTCATACAGCTAATAAGTGCCTGGTGATAGTACCTGAACTTAGGCCTTCCTAGGTCCCAAGTCCAAGCATAGGACTCTCACCACAAATCCATGTTGTGCCCAATTTGTCCTGAACTCTCTTATCTATGTACTTTTGTGCACGCTAGGCCCCAAGTCTGGCATGCACCCCTGTCCTTTATCATTGCCTGTTCATTTTCTTCTGTTTCTTAACAGCTGACATTTATGGAGCCCCTTAGATTTATCCAGAACTTTGTATACTTTACACTCACCCACATATTCTTCAATCCAGTGACATTGGACCCTCTGACTCTTCCATGACAAGACACTTTCTTTGGCTTCCTTCTATGCCTGGAGTGTCCTCCCTCCTCATCTCTGCCTCCTGGCCTCCTTGGCTTCCTTTCCAATGAAAATCCAACTCCTACAGGAAGCCTCTCCCAACTCCCCTTAATGCACCTGGTGCCTTGCCTCTGTCAATTATTTCCTTGTTTGACACAGTTGTCTGCTTGCTGTCTCACCCCATGCAACTAGGAGTTCCTTGGGACTGTATTTTGCCTCTTTTTGTATCCCCAGCACTTAGGACAGTGCCTGGCACACAGCAGATGCTTAATAAATGTTTGATGACTGATTGACTGACTTTGCCTGCATTATCTCTTTTGATGCACCCTGCCCCCTCCCCTCAAACCCTGGGAGCTAAGTATTATAGTCATTTTTATTCCCACTTTGTATATGAGGAAACTTTGCAAAGGGTTTCATATCCTATAATTATCCAGTGTCTGTCAGCATATATCTCCTGCTTTGCTAATTACCATCTTCCCAAAATAATCTTTTATGACCTCACTCACCTTCACGATTTGGTTAAGAAATCATCAAATTTTAGATCTTCCCCAAGTCATTCATTTCAAAGATGAGGAAACTGAATTCCAGGGTAGGGAGGTAACTTTTCAGAGTCACAAATGGATTTGTGCTAGAGCCGGGACGCAGACCCTGTGCCAGGGCTCTTTCTACCATGCTAGGCTTCCTCTCTTGAACTTGTTATGCAAATTCAGGAAGTTTGAATTGAAAACTATTATGAACTAATTAGAAAGTCACCATTTGTCCTCAGAAATTCTCCAGACTTCCTTGGGTTATATTAACAATTGAGCCTAATCAAAGCCTCGTAACATATTGTTCCTTTTTAAAACAGAAGTCTTGTTTGTGTGATCTGCTCCCCCTTCCACCCCCTATCCAGGGGGATTTGACACAATAACTCAAGACCCTGTCTTGATTCTGTCTATATGTAGCATCAAGTGAATGGAAGTTTGGTAATTACCAAAGCAGGGGGAAGAATGAAATGAGTGATTGAAATTGTTCTAGGTGGACGGTTAATCCAGATGATTCAAGACAATGTTGCCTGGCCTTTCACAGTTTTCCGGATTCATCGATCAAATCAACACTTTCATTGTTGATTTGGATAAAATAACAGATGGTGTGCTTGTCAGATTTGCAGATGGCCCAAAGCTGAGAGGGATGGCCAGTGTGTTGAATGACAGTCAGAGTTCAGAATGATCTTGGCTGCTGACAATGGTGGTTCAGATTTAATAACATAAAATATAATGGAGATAAGTGTAGGGTCTGTCACTTAGGTAACACAATCCAATGGCTAGCCGAAAAGGGACCTGGGATTTGAATGGACAACAAGCTCAATGTTGAGTCAACAGTGTGACATGGCAAGTCATAAAGCTAATGTGGTCATAGCTGGCAAGAAAAGAAACATCCCATCCACACCTAATAAGGTCATTGCCCCACCATACTTGCATCTGGCCACACAGCATCTGGAGAATTGTATCCATTGGTGGGGGCTACAGGTAAAGAAGTACACTAATTAACTGTGCCACCTGTGGCACATGCTGACTTTATGATGCTGGGCAAGTCATTTCACCTCAAGAGAAAGGGCCAACCTGTGGTAATACAGGGGATTTCCTTATCCAGTGTAGTTCCCTATTCCAATGAATTAGCTGTTCAAAGCCTTGTCTCCTATTGATAAATTGGGCATTGTCCAGAAGAGGAGGAGCTCAAGCTCATGACATATAAGGATTGGGGGAAAATGGGGATATACAACCTAAAGAAGAGAAGGGGGAACATGAGGGATGTCTTTAGAATATCAGTAGGACTTTCACCGGTAATGGTGATCTGTTTGACACCAGAGATTGGAGAGAGAGGGACAGCTTTAGGTTTGATGTGAAGCTTTCCTAAAAGTGGAAGTTCTCTGAAAGTAGAATGGATTGCCTCCTGGGAAGAAAGGCTTCCTCCTCTTCCTTGAAAGTCTTCTACAAAAGTGACATGACCACTTATTTGTCATAGATGCTGGTGAGAGGACTCTTGTTCAGATCTGCACCGTCCCCCAAAACCTCAGAGGTCCCTACTAAATTGGAAATTCAGTGACTTATGAATCTACTCAGAGAAATGGCACCCCACCCTCTTCACTTTGTATTGCCTCTATTTGTTTCACTGAGCACATGAGCAGGTAGCCATCCTAAGACAAGCAGCTAGTCACCTATGGTTACACCTCTCACATTAGGAAGGACATCAGGGGCCGCTGAAGTTTGACTGACAACTAATAAAATAGGTAACTTACCTTTGGTTAAACAAACAACCTTTCCAAAATAGGAAATATTTAATATTGTTTTACATTCCACGATCCTGCAATTTTCAAGACACTCTTATTAGGCAGGGTTTTGATAAATTGATTGACAACATTCTAGAGTTCTTTTTTCTTTAAAGATGTATACTTTAAATAAAGTCATTAAGTAGTGGAGAGTGATAAAAGTCTAGAATTCTGGTGGTAGATTAGTCAAACAGCTCCATCAAACACATTCCAGAGACAGAGAGAAAGAGAGAGAGAGAGAGCAAGCTGGGGAGAGTAGGACCCTTCGATGTAAATTGAGGTTACTTAGAAACCTTACACAGTTAACAATAAAGGGAATAGAGAAGAAACATTGGAATTCCATTCCCATTGAAGTTCACTAGTTCCCGGAATCATACTTTTTTTTTTTTTGCTGTTAATGAGGCTTAAATAACTATATAACTTTAAAAGCATGATCTACTCGCCATACCATCAAGAGGCTTCTCTTACTTGGAGCCTAGGTTTTGATAAATTTCAATTGAAAGCAAACACTTCACACCCATTTGCCTGCAAAGTTTCCACAAGGCCATTCAGATCTGATGGAGGAGAGCATTGTGGCATCTTGTTAACTTGTTATAGGTTGTATTGCTGACCACACTCAAGATGACATAATGTAGAGTTCTAGACATACTGAACAAAGAGGAACAACACATTGGATGGGATTGGAAGAAACAATACTCAGGGCAGGATTCTCTCTCCCCCTTCAATCTCTCTCTCTCTCTCTCTCTCTCTCTCTCTCTCTCTCTCTCTCTGTCTCTCAAAAACATGTATTGAATTTAATTGTTTAGTAAAGCAAGCATTACATAATGCTTTCAATATTTTAAAATTATGGAATAAAAGTTTACATCCAAAAACATGAATGGAAAATTGTGCTTTCAGACAGTAGTGTTAGTTATCATACAGGGTTTCCCAACTCCCAGTGTGTCTCCCTCCGGGATACTGAGGGAATGTCTCTAGATCACGTGTGCACGTGCAGTTTCCATCCCGGTCCTGCCAAAGTTTAAAGCATGTGCTTGCCTCCATGCAGCAAAGACACTCGGGGGACAGAAGGATCCAGATCTTCTGCTCAAGACAACAGCATCCCCCAAAACCTTGGTGCTATCTCCCCAATGAGTAGCTTTGACTGAGACTCTCTGCAAAGCATGAGAGTGCCTTGGACTCCTTGGGAGGCAAACAGAGCAGAACTGGGTAGCAGACGGCCAGGAAGGGAAGGCTATTCTGGTGTGAGGTGCCATCAGGGGCATGTCAGTGCCACAAGCAAATGCTGCTGCTGGAGTGACATGTGGAGCCCGCTCCAGCTGGGGAAAGGTACAGTTTGCCATTGGGACAGGCACAGAGCTCATACACAGTCTGTTGAGGAGCTGGGGAGCTTGGTGGAGCAGCTGAGAAGGAGCCCACAGGCAGATTTCCTAGACGAATGGTTTCTGCATTTAAAAAGATCTAGGAGGAAAAGAAACCATAGTTTAGTGCTTCCGGACATGGTAGATCCCTTCAGAATGTTGTTCCAATGCCTGACCATACTCCATAACCTTTGTCCATGTCCTTCCTGAGGTTTATTGCAAAGGATCTTCTAGACATGCTGGAGGAGGGCTTCTCTTGACAACCAAACAATAGCAATTGAATTTGGTAGCTGGCTGCCATCTACCCCTTGGTCTTAGTGCTCCATCTTAGAACTTGAGATTCTTTTTAAAAGAGGAAGAAATCTGGGAATAGTCAGACATGTAGCTTTGATTTTTAGAAAAAGGAAGTTAAAAAAGTCCCATGGCTGTAAACTCTAAAAGGAAACCCAGATCAAGAGGGAAGGAAAGCTTTCAAGAAGAAATTCCCACCAAAATCTATTCCCCAATAGATAAGTGGTCAAAGGATAGAAACAAACAGCTCTCAAAAGAATTGTAATGTATTATCAGCTATATGAAAGAATGCATCAAAATCACTAGAAATAAGAAAAATGAAGATCAAAACAACTCGGAGGTTTCTTCTCATGCCCAGAAAATTGGCAAACATGAAAAAGATGGGAATATTCAATAAGGGAGGGATTGTGGGAAGACTGGCATCCCAGGGCATTTCTGGTGGAGCTGTGAATTAGTACAATCATTATGAAAAGAGAATTGGAATTACCCAAATAAAGTGACTAAAATGTTCATATCCTTTGACTCATAAAATTTGCCACTAGGCATATCTCCTAAGGAGGTCATTGATAAAAAGAAAGTCCTCATATACACCAAAATATTTATAGAAGTACTTTTTTATGATGGAAAAGAATGGGAAACAAAGGATGTCCATCCATTGAGGGATGGCTAAACATTTTTGTAGTACATGGATGTAATAGGATATCACTATACAGTGAGAAACAACAGATACGATGAATGCCAAGAAGCATGTAAAAATTTACATGAGCTGATGTAAAGTGAAGAAAGTGGAGTTAAGAAAATTAAAGATACACAATGACTTCAATAACGCAAAATGAAGAACATCACCTGCAAAGCAATCTAAAATGAATATTGCAAAATGACAGAGTGAGCACAGCCCGAAGAAGATATCACCTTCTAGTGCTTCACAGATTTGAAAGGTTGATAAGTATGGAATATTGCATATATTTTTAGGTATTTTAATATATGGAATAGTTGGATAATTTTTTTCTTCTTTCTCTTTTTTTCCTTAAAAAAAGTTATTTGTTGGGGCAGCTAGGTGGTGTAGTAGAAAGAGAACTGGCCCTGGAGTCAGGAGGACCTGAGATCAAATCTGGCCTCAGACACATAACACTCACTAGCTGTATGACTCTGGGCAAGTGATTTAACCCAATTGCCTCATATAGAAAAAGTTATTTGTTATATAGGGGTGGTTCTCTGAAGATAGGGAATGAGACAGATGTAGGGGGAAATTAAGGCCACTTGAAAAGAAAATGCTAACAATATCTGCCTTCTCTTAACATTAGTAAGCTTGAAATGTCCGCATGTTGAGAGACCAAATTCATATCCATTGAAACTACTAGGAATGCTGTGCCTGGAGAAGGGTTGGTGGTGGGGTGGGGTATGGAGCTGGGATGGAATCCAGGATAGCTGTGTTTGAGGTGGGGGTTGGGTAGGGCAGTATTGAGAGAGGAAGTACCTTCTTGGCATGCTTTATTCTATCTCCTACTTATACCCTGAAGATCTCACCCACCTTTCCATCTCTATATTTGACATTGGCCAGGTCTGTATTAGAATATCAGGCCCAATTTGAATCTTCATATCTAAAACTGACTGTGGAACAACTAGATGAGTTTTAAAGAAGAGTAAAATGAATGAGTCATTTCAGTCTTTGGGCCTTCTTGGAATGTTGTGTGCCCTTGAGGCATTGGAGTTACATCTTTTCTTCTACAAATCTCTTGATGTGATCTTCCATTCTCATTTCCTTTACTCTAGCTTATGATAAAGAGGTGGTCTATCCCTTCACAAAGGCCAAATTCTCTTCTAGTACCATTGTTCAGATCCTATCCTCTTTTCTTTTGCCCAAAATCACCCTTCTGCCCTACTTCAATCTTTAATCTCTTCCTATCTATTAGATTATTTCTTGACACTACAGACACTCATTTTCCCTTTATTCAGCTCCTAGCATCTTCACCAAGCTACTAGTTATTTGTTTATTGTTAGTTTTTCCATATCTTTATATAAGTATATATCATTTTCTCCAAAAGAAATTTCCTTGAGGGCAGGCAATATTCCAATTTGTCTTTGTATGTCCAGTGCCTACCACAATCCCTAGAATAAGCTGGGTCCTTTATTAATAAATGGTCTTTGATTCATTATACACTCATTACCTTCACTTCTTCTCCTCTTGCTCCTTTCTCATCCTTCTGCAATCTGAATTTGGACCTCATGAAGCAAAGCTTTCCAAAGTAGTCAGTGATCTCTTGATTGACCAATCTTATTCCTCTTGACCTTTCTATAGTATTTGACACTGATGACCAGCCCACCCTTCTTCTCTTGGTTACTCTTGTACTGAATCCTTTTTGTAACATCTCTGCTGAAAAGAAGGCTAAAAGGAGTGGGAAGGAGAGGCTACAACTTACTGAGAGTACTCAAATGCCTTTTGCAGGTTGTTCTGCCTGATCTTTGAGGACAGAATCTAGATTGATGAATGGAAGTGGCAAAGAGAAGCAATGATATCTGACTATGGAAAAACTTTCAAACATTTAGTGCTGTCCCAAAGTAAAAGGAGGAAGCCTGGAAAGTGGAAAGATGAAAGAGAGAAAGAGAGAGAGAAGGAGAGAGAGAAAGAGAGAGAGAGAGAGAGAGAGAGAGAGAGAGAGAGAGAGAGAGAGAGAGAGAGAGAAAGGGGCAGAGAGAGAGAGAGAGAGAGAGAGAGAGAGAGAGAGAGAAAGGGGGAGAGAGAGAGAGAGAGAGAGAGAGAGAGAGAGAGAGAGAGAGAGAGAGAGAGAGAGAGAGAAGGAGAGAGAGACAGACAGAGAGGAAGACAGACAGGGATTCTTCAATGTAGGCTTATTGTTATATCTAGGAATATTAGGCAGCTAGGTGGTTCAATGGATGGGGCACTAGGCCTAGAGTCATGAATATCTAAGTTCAAATCAGGCCCCAGACACTTACTACTCAGACATTGGGCAAGTCACTTAACCTCTGTTTGCCTTAATCCACTGGAGAAGGAGATGGTAAACCACTCTGGTATCTTCGCCAAGAAAACCCCATGGACAGTATTGGTGTGTTATATTTACAGGGTCAGGGAGAGTCAGACATGACTGAATAACAACAGGAACAAGAGATATTCACCACAAGTTTCCTCTTTACCTTTTTCCATTTTTGTAGCCCAGTCATTGAGAGCAAACACTCACACTCAGAATGAAACAAAAAATCAGATTGTCATTATCTGGAGGTAAGAACTATTACAGAAACTCAGCCAACAAATAGAGGAGACATAAGGGAATGTGATGTAAGTTTACCAGGAAATGGTGGGACAAAGGTGGAGAAGAGAAATTCACCTGGTCCCAGCGGAGCAGCAAATCATGCCCCAGCAGGTCAATTGTTAAATGGGTCAGTGATTCACATAAGGCCACAGCTCCTCATGGGGACATTGAGCTTGGGATGGCAGCATGCTTCTTTCACTTTCAGCCAGCCAGTGACACTGGGGCCCATTTGAACCCCCTGAAACCCTCCTGTCTAAGGAGCTCTAGACTTGCCCATCCCATTTGACTTCTACCTCCCATGATCATTCAGTTCCTGCTTCTATTACTTTCCTTCAGCCCTAGCAATGACAAGAAGAAATATTTAATTTCTTCCTCTGTAAAATGGAGGTGTTAACAGCACTGACCACACAGGACTCTTGTGAGGACTCATATACATATATATTTCGGAAGGCCATTAGGGTGAGCAATAAAAATGTTCATTTTATTTTCTTGGGCACAGTTTTACAGCTGGCAGCAGGTTTCCTAGGATAGAGATCATCCCATGGCTGTCCTCACTCACCTCCCCCTCTGTGGATTGTAAGTGAAGTTCTTTCCTGCAAGTGGCCTTGAAGTCTCCAGCAGCTGCACTCACTTGCACACCCCTGGGTGCTTCCATGATCAAAGACCTAGTTGGAGATTCAAGCCTAGGAAATTAAAAATAAAGCAATCTTAACAAACAAACAGATAATGTGAATGAGGGGCATCCTTGGTACAGGGGGAAGGGAGCCAGACCTGGAGTCGAGAAAGAACTGGCTTGGAATCCTGCCTCCAGCATTTACTAGGTGGGTGACCCTTGGGAAGTCCCTTGTCCTCACCCAACTTCAATTCCCTCAGCTGCTGAACAGGAACATGCTTAACACCTCTCTTTACCTCATGGATTTGTAAGAATCAAATGAGATAACATGTTTAACATGTTCTTTAGATGTTACCTATTATAATAAATAATAAAGCTGTGAGGAACTTTAAGAAAATCTCATTCCCTAATGGAAACTGGAAATAAAATGACTAGCCCTTCTCCCACTGAGAGAAAGGAGAATCTTGGCACAAATGTTTCATCATCTCTCTGAGGTTGGGAGCAGCTTTCAACATTGTTCATTGGCTATTGTCAATTCTCTATCTTCCTTTCTCCATTTTAGGCACCTGTCTCCTCTTTATTTCCATTCATAGAATTTTCTGAAAATAGGTCAGTTTATGTGTTATCTGTATGTAGATCAGAAATTAATTATTTCATACCTTGCCCAGAAGTACCCCCCAACACAGAATCTTTGCTTTAAAAATGGTAAACCTAGATTTAAAGTAATTAATATTTAAAAATTGCTGGCATGCAAAGATTTGTCAACTTGCAGATTTTTCAAAGTTCTCATGTTGTCTTCATGCCCTTCTGGAAACTAATTCAAATGAACACAGAAGGTATTCTCCATGACTACGGCCTGTATCTAGCCCTCTCAATGAGTCTAAAAAGAAGATCTCAATTTTGAACTTCAAGGATGATTAAAAGGCTGGATAATTAGATCTCTGATGAAAGATGAAAAGGACTGAAATTATTAAGACAGGACAAATGATCAGGTTAGGGTAATTTGACAATGGCTTCAAACATATTAATGAAAAACTTGAAAGAAAGCCAAATTAGTGAAAGGAAAAAGGAGAAGAGAAAGAAAAGAAAGAACGTGTGAAGAAGGAATCAATATTCTTGCTTCTAACACAAACATCTTTTTCCCCTCTGTTGTAGCCTTGGATCATTTAAGTTAGGGTGATGCTTGGTTGACACTAAATGCACTGCTAAATCATTAGTGCACACGCCCCCTTGGTTTCCTCTCCCTCGGATCTCACAACACCTTTTGTCATTGGATGTGCAATGTCCTGGATTCTGTCTGGGAAACAATAACACCATCACCAACTGGCTTCTCAGAGCCGTGGTCTTTCTTGGCTGCCAGAGACACCTTAAAGGCTCAAAGGGAAAGAACTCTAGGAGCAGGATGCAGGAAATGACCTCACTTCCTTCCTCAATTGAGTATTTTATTGATTCCACATCTAGGCATCCCCAAGAAGCTAAAGCTAGATTGACATGGTTCAGTCTTCTCTTTATTGGGTTATCTTCTTAGGCACCCCAAATTGTGTCTAGGGACTACTGTAATATTCCCTTGGTATTAATTACTCCTAGCAGTAAGCATAATTATCCACTTGTGGATGATCCTCTAATTAATGCAGCAGTTAATTTGGACCTGCCAGACCCAACTAAAAGGAATATTTAATTAAAATATGTCACTAGCTGGAAATGGTGTGTGTATTTGGTAATTCTAGGAAAAGCAATTCAATGACTAGAAACAGGGATAAGTGCCAATTACTTTATCAAATGGCTGGATACAGTTTGGTTAGGCATCAAGTATGTTGCAGCTGGGCTTTATTTGAGTCAAAGAGTCCCATGGAATACATGTCATGAGGGAATCTGACAACATTTCTGTAAACTTATCATGGAAATATTCAAAAACGCACTAGACATTCCTTGATATTTCTGTTGCTTCATATTTATCATTCAGGCAGAAAGCAGTCATCAAGCAACTTCCCATTGTCTTACCTAGAAAAGTAGAGAGTAGAACCATTGAGTCAGTGAGTGCAGAGCAAAGCACCCATGCACGCAATGCTTTATTTGTCCACTTCACTGGTGGAGAATTTCATCATCACGTTCTTCATCAAGATGGGTAAGAGCACAGTTCCTCTCTGACTTGTCAGTCTGTGCACACACTTCTGTCAAGCCGTTGATCTATGGGGATTATTTATGCCCAGGGCTAGTGTTTTCTTCAGGTTCCTATGGGCATTGCATCAGTGAAACACCTAGGATCTCCATCACTTCTCCTTCATCCATCATGCTGTTCTTTGTTGACATCTCTCATACTTCTTGCTGGCAAGTCAATATGGATAATGTGTTGTAGCCTAGTGATTGCCATGGATTGTCTGTGATAGTCTTTTGCAGGGTTATTTGTGGTAGTAAGCCTTCTGAGATCATAATGCTCCATGATGGTACCAAATCACTAGGAGAATATCACCTTGAAAAGATGGACTCGGGAAGCAGGGAGCACCTGGAGATTGCTGAAGGTGCTGTGCTGTTTCCCAGTTATGAATCAGTCCACTCTCCTTTGTTTTTTCAGAGAATCACAGAATCTCACAGTTGAAAGGGGCTGAATTCAGGGACCATTGGGTCCAGCTGAGAGCTGAATGTCAGACAACTCACTAAGTCTCATCTGGCCTTTACTCGAAGTTCTCCAAAAAAGAGGGAAAGAGGAAGGCAGACAACTGGGATATTGATAATTTGGAGTGCTTCCAAGGGAGGGAAATCAGAATGGTGAAGGGCCTTGCCCCATGCCATATGAATATCATTCATCTGAACTGGAGATGTTTTTCTTGTTTCCTGAAGAAGAGAAGTAAGTGGGTGCCTTCCCATCCATTCCACTTTTCAATAATGGTGATTCCTGGGAAGTTTTTCTTGGCATTAAGCCTAGATCTGCTTCTTTGGGACCTCCATCTAGTACTGACCTTTGGGTCAAATCTGAGTAAAACTAACTAAGCATTTTTGACAAGAGAGCCCTGCATATACTTAAAGATAGTCATCATGTCAAATGCCTTCAGTCTCCATTCATCAGGTTCCTACTACGTGTCAGTCACTGGGGTTACAAAGGCAACAATGGAAACAACTCCTGCCTTTGAAGCTCTGACTTTTGATGGTGGATGGGGAGGCAACAGGCACATAGATCAACCAAATGCCTAGCAGCTCATCTGTAAGCTAGCACAGTATAGTGCAGGACTCAGGTTCAGGAGCAGCCTAACTTACAGAGGCCTGGCAGGGTCTAGGCTTGGGGCTAGACTTGCCTCTCTGCCAGGTATCTCCAAGCTCAGTGACTAGTTGCAGTTACACCAGGGCCAGCTCCCCATTCAGCTTAGGTTTTTCTTTGGGTTCCTTTGCTTTAGGTCATTCTCTATTAATATTCAGGGGATGACTACATTCAGACCAACCTCTGGTTGGTTTAGCCCTGGGGATAGGGAAGAGAATAGAGTCCTCTCCCTTTTACTGTCTCTAAAACCCCCTTCCCTGCAGGAGGGAGGGGAAACAAGATGTGAATAGTTTGGACAGTACCAGAGAGCCATTCCCCTGCTTTCCACAGATAGGAGGATGCTGGGCCTTCAGTTTTGTCTCATTAGCTATAAAACACATCACTTTGTCCATTTGTGTTGGTGACGTACTCTACTCACCCCCTCCATCCACAGATCTAGGATAGGGATAGGGAACCTGCAGCCTGAAGGCCTGTGAAGTTTGGATTCAAACAAACTGTGAAAGTTTTGATTCAGTCAAAAGGCCACACTTGAGGACCTAGAGGGCTACATGTGGACTTGGGGCTGCAGATTCCCCAAACCTGAGAGGATGATCCTTACTCCTGGGAGTCCTGGAATCGGGAAACAGCATCTCCCTTACTGCCTTCTCTATCAACCATACTATTTTGCATGGTTGGCAAAATGGACCCCCAACCTCTTTGTCTCTCCCAATTGTCCTTAGCCAGCCTCAAGCTGAATTCATGGGTGTTTGGAAACTTGGGGTAAAAACATCTGTGCAGTTGCTCTAGTTACATTCCAAGTCCCAAGTCTCCATGGCGATGCCTGCCAGAGAGTGAATTGAAAGTTACATCGATATAAAATGCAAACGCAACAAGTGCCAAGTGAGATTTCCCAAAATCCTTCACTGGCACATCCCATGGGAGGCTCTTCCTGCTTTCCCTCCTCACCAGCATTCTTTCCCACTCTATGGATGCACTTTCTTTACCCAGGAAAATGTAAGCTCCCTGAGGACAGGGACAGCATTTTTTGTTTATGTTACTCACTACCTGGCCTAATCTGGAAAGAATTCATGCACAATTTTAAAATACAGAAAGAAATCAGACATCAGTTCAAATCCTGAATCTTGATTGGATTTGCAGTGCCTTCCAAACCTGTGTTTTATGAGTATGGGCAGCCCCCAGGTGAGAAACACCCCTCTGTCACAGCAGATCAGCATCTGCTAAGCAACACATGAGATATGCATAGGAAAGCAGTGATGAAGTGACTTGTTCAGGGTCACACAGACACTGTGTGCCAAAGGCAGGATTTGAACCCAGAACTTCCTGACTTGGAGACTAGTTTTCTCTCCACTGGGCTCACTCTACCTCTCTGGGCAATAAAAGATGGCTAGTGACTTGTCCAGTCTCTAGAACACACTTAATAAAAGTCTAAATTGCTGAATTGAATTGAAATAAATGGTAGCGGGGTTTCTGATAGATGGTGTGGCCCTTTTCCTGCTCTTCTTTCTTAATGACATATTGTGGATTTCATCATGTCCCAGAACAGGAAGGTCATATTTGATGAAATTTACTCTAAAGTGAAGAAGCCAACAATACTCTTAGGCAATAACAGATGAGTCCAAAAATGCACATGGGTCACATTGATGTGTCATTGAATGGGCAACCCATTGAATTAGCTGATCAGTATGTGCATTCTGCCCCTCACTGTGTGTGTGGACCAGGCACAAGACCCAGGCTTGGATTGGAGGAAAAGAGCAGGGTCTATGACTTTTGGGAAATTAAGTAGCCCAAAAAGTTAGGTTGTGGTGGGTACTGTAGAACCATTAGAAACCCCAAGTGGCCTCAAGGGTATCAATGATGAATAGTTGACAGAAGGCTAGGAAGAACACTTTTGTACATGCTTGTTTATATGGACCGCCTTATAGAAAACACCACAGCCTCAGTCAAAGCAGCAACTAGGACCTGTCCAGGGTTCAAGAGCATTTTCATAATTCCAGATGGTTTCCCCTTGAGACTTGGGGTTTTGAGATGATGGATGGCTCACTGCAATATCATGCTAAGGCCAAATGTTGATCATTGTACAACATCTATACCTAGGAGTTGCTTTAATCCAGATGTCTTTTCCCCTTCTCCAAATTCCTCCATCCTTCAACCTTCTTTCCTTGGCTTATGCAGAAACACTAGAAAAAAATAAACAGCACACAACAAAAGAAAAGGAAAAGAAAGCTCAAAAATGTCAAAATTGAACAAAACAGCCAGGAATGTGTACTCTGTGCGCACCTCCAGGTTCCCTTTTGAAGATGTCCCTTGATTCCTGGGGGCATAGATTGTGTTTTGGGTAGCAGCATCTCACCTTTTAACAAAGCTCAAGGAAAGAAATCCCTAATCACGCAGGAACCAACACTTACTTGAGGTCTTGGGAAGGTTCTGCTCTGATGTGAGGTGTTTCCACAGAGTGTCCAAACACTGCTCCTTCTGTGCCTGCAAGAACCAAGCAACAGGAGAGGAATTACTGCATTGCTGTTGAAAGCAGGTGTGTTATTAGTGATAATCAAACCTCAGAGGATATATGTGTAAAATCTGAATCTTCCAAAGAGCTCATTTTAAAAAGCACTACCACAGGAAAAGAAAAGAACAAACAAATGAAGAGAATGGAAGAAGGAGGAAGAGGAGCAGAAGGAACAAGGCAGGAATCAAGCATTTATTATGTGTCAAGCACTGTTAAATGATTTACAAATGTTATCTTATTTGATCATGGCACCACTCTTGGGAAGTAGGTGCTGTTATCCTCTTCATTTTGTATTTGAGGAAACTGAGGTAGAGGTTAAGTGACTTGCCCAGGTTCACACCTCAGAAAGTTTCTGAGGTCAGATTGGAACTCAGGACTTGCTGACTCAAGTCTGGCACTCTGAGCCACCTAGCTGCCTCTTACAGGCAGGATAAGGTAAAATAAGAAGAACAGAAAAAAGAGAATTACAGATATGTGTTATTGCAGAGAACAGGCAAAGGGAAATCCAGATTTCTGGGGGTTGATGTGTTTGTTTTTCTTTGCCTTTAAAAGACAATGATATGTCTAGATATCTAGATCTGCGGAGCATTTTCACCATTGGTCCCCCATCTTGTGGATAATAGGGAATCTCTGATCTCATCCTACCTTATCACAACTACAGAAAACTGAAGAACAGAGATAGACAATCTCACCCAATGCCTTCTAGTCTTGGTAAGTGAAGTTGCAGGCTAATATATGTGCCTTGGTGCCACTTACAGGGTAGATGATGGGGGCTGAAAGGAATTTACTCATTTCAAATAACACATTACTTATGGCTACCATTGAGGAAGAAGCAAAGTAGTAAAAACAAACAAACAAACAAAGGTCATATTTTTGCTGAGCATTCACTCTGAAAATGAGTGGGGGTGAGAGTCATCTAACACACTGGCTAGGTGAGGCGGCAGTGGTGGTACACAATATAAATGCTGGTAGCTACGATGTTAACTGGAAGTCATTAGGGTCAAGGATATTGAGGATGGTTTGGACTCTGCTTACTGGTGGGATTTGGGCACAGTTAACTGATTTAAAACTACATTAAAAACTACATCATGCAGAAATGTTTCTGCACAAATTAAATTAATGTGTTTCATATAAGAAAGAAAGCAGCTGAATGGGGAAAAATTTGTATCAAAGATGCCATCTGTTCCTACTAAACAGGCAATGGAAATAGGCTGCTCACATATAGAGAAAGAATGTCTTACAAACGGATCCCCAACATGTCCCACATAGAACACATAACATGTGTGTGTACATATATACACACATACACACATGCACATATATGCATACCCACTATATTTATGCATGTGTGTATATATGCATATAAATTCTATTTGGAAATAGATAACAGCTGTGAACAGTGTTATGAATGAAGAGTTTTCAAAAGAATTACAAACTATTCATAACTATATATAAGAATGCTCCAAATTAATTGGACAGTTTGTGGAAAGACAGTCACACTAGTGTATTATTGATGGAGGTGTGAATCAATAGAACCATTTTGGAAAGCAACCTGGAGTTATACAAATAAAGTGACTAAAATGTCCCACACACTTTGGAATAGAGATTCCACTAATATGCTTATCTAAGGAAGCCATCCATTAAAAGAAAGTCTCCATATACATTAATATGTTCATAGCAGCACTTTTTGTGATATCAAAGAAATTAAAATAAAGTTGATGACCATCAGTTAGGGGAGGCTAAACAAAATGTGGCACATGAATGAAATGGGACATTACTATGCCACAAGAAATAATGAATATGATAAATATAGAGAAGCATGCAAAGATCTACATGAATTGATGCAGAGTGAAGTAAGAAGACCAAAGAAAGTAACATACTCAGTAACCACAACAATGTAAATGGAGAGAACAACCACCAAAAACTAAAGATAAGTGTTACAAAATTCCAAATAACAAGTACACCTCCAAAGAAGAAATCTGAGAAGACACGTCCACCATAGCCTTTTGAAGAGGGAAGAATTCTACGAAGGAGCTACATTTCATGTATTTACAGATTTTTTTTCATATTTTCATTAGTTATGCTGATTTTTTTTCTCTCCTCTCCTCTCTTCTCCTTTTATATGCAATGGCTCTCTGGGCAGGTGAGGGAGAAAGATAATAGGGGAAATTGTGGTGATGTAGAAAACCAAAAAAAAAATCAATAAAAATTACTTTAAAATGTTCCTATTAAATATTCTCCTTGAGACCATTAACTCAAATCAACTTAATTCCACTTTGTGGGCAGAGACATCTTTCCTGAAGATGTTGGTAATAGACTACTAAATGCTCAGACTCCATGATGAAATCAGGAGCCCAAATCTTCAACTCCTAATGAAATACTACAGAGCTTTGAGGAGAACAAAGATCAAAGGTGGGGAATTCTTAATGAAACAATGACAGATTTGTTTTTTTCCACTGAAGATTTAATGTCAAAATTGTCATTTAAATCCAAGTTATGGGACTCTTACTGTTTTCTCAGATCCTTGTGCCTCCAAGTTAATTAATTTAATGCTGAATACAAAAATAGTTTGAGAAAGTAAGATGAGAACACACTTGATGGACCATGAATTCAATTATTTTCTTGAAGGCAAACTACTTGCAGAAATGGATAATTGCCATTAGTGAATAAAATGGGACAACAGTTATATAGCAGGGTTGGGAAAAGGCTCAGCCAGATTTTGATGATGTGTTTTAATGGTAATTTTAATACATCTTTTATTTTGGTATCATAATTTCTGGTCAGATTCAGAGGCCTTTAGATATGAGACAATGGTTCACTATACCTTTAACTTTGGTTTGTCCTTAAATACCAAAGAAAATGACTTGACACCAAGGAAAGGTAGAGACTGAGGGCTCTGGCACATAGTAGGTGCTTAATAAACATTTATTTACTGACTGATTAACTGACCTACTAAGGCATATCTTGGTGGCTAGAGTGATAAACTAGAGCTTAGTACTCAAAGATGATGAGGTTGGTGCACACATTGCCAGAGCTAGCTCACTGTTTGGGACACTGAAGGAAAGTGTGGGAGGGCAGAGTCTGCCTACCAAACTGAAGGTCTATAGAGCTGTTGAGGTGATCTCATTGCTGTATGCCTGTGAAACCTGGACAGTCTATCAGCACGTGCCAGAAAACTGAATCACTTCCATTTGAATTGTCTTAGGAAGGTTCTGAAGATCCCTTGACAGGATAAGGGACCCAACACTGAGATCTTTTCTCAAGCTAACTGCTGAGCATTCAAACTCCACTGTACAGAGTGTAACTCTGATGGGATGGACATATTGTTTGACAGCCAAACATAGATTTCCCTAATAGATTATTTTACTCACACAAGGCAAATATGCACATGGAGGTCAGAAGAAGCAATGCAAGGACACTCTCATGGTCTCTTTGAAGAACTCTAGAATCATGGAAGACACTGGCACAGAACCACCCAGCATGGCATGTCTGCAGCAAAGAAAGCTCTGTGCTCTCTAAACAAAGCAGAACTGTAGTAACTCAAAAGCAACTTGAGATGTGAAGATTTAGAGACATCTCCCTTCCAAATGGTCACATGGACTCTTTTTGCCTGATCCTGGCAGAGCCTCCTGACCTCCTATTGGTCAGATCAGCCATAGCTGGGCACACTGTACATTGACCCTGATGTAATGATGTCATTTTGGTTCTCTTGGAGAATGAAGGACAACCAGAAGCTTAATATCTTTCACAAATTAATGGGACACCAATCATCATACTGCAAATAAACCATGCTAGAACTAGACTATTACTGCAGGCAAAATCATTTCCTAGAGTTACCCAGACGCAACAGTGGTTCCCTAAAAAAGGAGGAAAATGTTTTTTATAGAAGTGGCTGTACCAAATGCATTAGTATCCTCTAACTATTCAGCTTTCAAAATCTAGAAGCCAAACAGAAGCAATTTTGTGGAAGCAGGAGGAGGTGTGCGTCATCCCCTCATTCTTTTTGCTGCTCAAGGCATCCTGTCAGTGCTTTCTATGAGCTTACAGAAGATAAGCTTATGACCCAATGCTATTATTGAATTACAGAAATCAGTTATTTCTTTTCCGCCTGTGAGATAGTCTTTAAAACATCTAATAGAAAGGATTAATAACTGGGCATTGCCTTCTTCCGGGACAATTTTTATGTCAACTTAAAAATACAAGAAGCGTGAGATATAGAAAAATAATAGTGAGTTGTAAACAGTAACAGCAGTTCACATTTCTGTGGCATTTACAATTTTCAAATGGCTTTCCCCAGTACTGTCCAGAAGGTTAGGTGGGTGGTGCAAGTGCCTCCATCCATGCCCATTTTACAGAACTGAACACCAACATATTTCTGCTCCTTTGCAGGATCCTGGAATGAGTAATTCCACATTTTCTCTTCTTCCACAGAGAAAGCAGTAGAGTACAATGGGAAAGGTCATTCATTTAGTCAGAGGTCCTGGATTCAAATAAAGTCTCTGCTACATTTTACCTTTGTAAATTGGGCAAGGCATGTTACCTCAAGTATTTGGGTCTTAATTCTCTCCTATAAAAATGAGGGGGTTGGATTCAATGGCCCCCACGGTCCCTTCCAGGTCCCTGTCTTTCTCCTAAAATTGTACAGTTACTTATCCACTGGAGATTTAGATAAGAGGCAAGTATCTTTTCCATTTTCCAGCCTATTTTTGACCCTGAACGTGACTGTTAAGTTACTCAGGCATAGCATATCAAAATGTAAAATTAAGTACCATAGTTTTCATTATCTCACCTGTTGAAAACTGAAATACCAAATAATAATTGCCTCTTTGGGGAAACAGTGGGGTGGTGGATATTCAAGGATGTGATGTAAAATGGTTTCATGATTTGAGCTATACTGAAGGCCTTCTATATAGGTTTGGAAATTTCCAGAATAACTGCTTTGTGTGTGCATATATGAGCATTCAGTCAACAAACATTAAGTGGTTAAAATGTACCAGACAGTGTACTAAGGGCTGAGGAAAAGAAAAAATAAACAGTCTCTGATCTCAAGGAATTTATATTCTGATGAAGAAAAACAGCAGATAAGGGAAGAGCTAAAAAGTGTGTATGTGGAGGTACACAAGTAGGGACGTGGCAGGTAGATTCAGAGAATGAGGGATGGTTAGTTGAGGGCCACTCCCCAAAGCAAAACTTCTGGGAAGAACTCATTAATGAGAGGAGGATCCCCATAGCAGCAGGGTCAGGAGTCACATGAGGCATGGTGGTTATGTACATACTAGTGTCAGAAAATAGGAAGTTATTGTTTAAATAATAGAATCTGAGACATAGGCAAGAAATATATTTCCCTCTATATTTCTTTAAAAGAACAAGAAAGGTACACAGGAAATAGAAATGGAGAGCTCACTTTAATTTTCCATCAGTCACTGATTATCTTTGAACCACTTCTTGTACTAAGCAATTTGTGTTCACTGAAAGCATACATTATCACCCTCCACTGGCCAGGGAAATGATCACTTAACTTTTTTCCCCTGGATTCAGAATCGTGCATATCTCTAGTGGGTATAATGCACTCCAAAAATGAATTCAGAAATCCTGATGTAAACCCACCATGTTAAGGAGTCACAAATTATTGAGCTATTCTTCACATGCAGAGTGTCGATAGTCTGTTGGTAAAGATATGATGATATTAAGGCTGATGGTGGTCATAATTTAGGGGGTGGGGCACAGGAGGAAGGTTCCTAAGCCTGATGGGAGGAGGGTCAACCAGATTACAAACCAATATAACTAGTGACATACGGATAACCTCTGAGTCATTCCTAGCTAATTGTGGCAACAGATTCTCTCCTTTCCTTATGGCTACAGGGATAAACGTATCCTCTGTAGAATGTAAATGGCAGAATGTGACTTTGTAGAGGACCTAGTTGCCATTTTCTAGGCAGTGTAAGTGCCTTCTGCTATGTCTGGTGGAATGTTTCAGTATTAAGAAGTCTGGTCTCTACTATAGAGAGCTGGCATGGTGTAATGGATAAAGAGCTAGCCTCAGAGCCAGAGACTCTCATGTTGCAATCCTAACTCTGACACCTATTGGCAATATCACACTGACCAAATAACATGAACAGGAAATTTTCAAAGGAAGAATTATACACTATCCACAATATATGACAAAATGTTCCAAGTCACAAATACTCAGAGAAATACATTTTAACCTGACACTGAGCTTTCATTTTATAGCCATCAGCACAGATAAAAATGATTCTATTTGGAGGATTGTGCAAAATATACTAATGCAATTTTGGTGGGGCTGTCAATTAGTTCAACAATTCAGGAAAACAATTTGTACTTATACTATAATAGTCACTAGACTACTGTTTGGCCCAACCATATCAGTACTAGGCATATACTCCAAAGAAGTGGAAGACAAAGGGAAAAGTGCCATATATGCAAATTATTTATAGAGCCTCCTGTTTATTTTTGCACTAGGAGAAAGAAAAAAGGAGAAACGAAACAAGTGTCTATGTATTAGGAGATACCGAAATGAACTGAAGTATATAAATGTGATGGGATATTACTACACCTGAGGAAATGACCAATACGAAGAAATCAGGGAAGTTATGAAGATTTGTATAAAATGATGCAGAGTAAAATCAGAAGAAACTGAAGGATTTTTGTTTTATTTTTTTTTCACAGTAACCAGAATAACATAAGGAAAAACAGCAATAAAAGAACAGCAGAACTTAAATGCTGTGATAAGCCTAGTCTTCAGAACACTTAGGGTGAGACACACCTCACTCCTCTTGGCAGACCAATAGTGGACAATAGGTGCAGAATGGGTCCCATTTTGTCAGAGAAAGTCAGTTTGTTCATTTGTTTTCTTAAAGATTACTTCTTTATGACAAGGAAGGGTTCCATTGGTGGAGGTGGTGGTGGTAGTATGCGGAGGGAGTCATTGGGAAATCACAAAGAAAGGTTAAAAAAAGAAGAGAAATAAGGCATTTCTTCTCCCTCTTTGCAGCCAAGCTCCAAGGCAAGGCTGGTTCTCATAGTACCTGTTACTTTCAGTCGGTCAGCCCCAATGGTGATCTCTTCTTCATTGGCAGAAAACAGGACCCTGCCACCTTCACTTTCACGCACTTCAAACTTTTTACACTGAGCTTCCACAGCATCTGCTCCTAGGAGAAAGGGAGGGGAGGGCAATAAAATGGGAACAAAACCAAAATCCTAACTTCCATGCTGTGTCACTGTTTTTAAGTAATGCTTCAAATGACCAATGGTTTCATCGATTTCCAAAAACCTATGTAGCTTTTAAATTATTCAGAGACTTTAACATCTCAAACTGTTTGTGTATTGCTCTTTGTATAGATCAATAATTTATGTCTAACATATAGGTATTTCTTTTCCTTACTTAATATTCAGATGCCAGCTTCACTCCTTTCCCCCAACTGACTTTATTTCCAGAGATTTCTCACTGCTACAGTTAATAGCTGTGAAAAGATATTTCAATCCTGCTATCAGACAAAGCAAAAGTAAAAAATCCAGTATATCAATAGAGATACAGAAGGTGAACAAGAGGGAGATAAAGGAATGAAACACCCCAAAGCCAGGAAAGCAGTGAGAGAAACCACATTAATAATTCTACCTTTAGAAGAATGCAAAGAACATTTCAGTCTTAGAATGATGGATTCATAAGATGTTACAGTTATAAGGGACAGAAGACACAATATAGACCTTCCACTTCATGAGAAGACTGAGTCCTTGTTGAAGGTGAAATGATTTGTCCAAAATCACACTGTTATTTTCTAGCAGAACCAGGAATTGTACTGAGGTCTTCTGACTTCCAATCCAGCTGCCTTTCACCTATGCCCTGCTTCCTCTTGGAGGATGAATTACATATCTAAATCTTTGGATTACAATAAAATGAAATATGGCTTCCTTCCTCTTTGTCAATTTTAAAAGGCAATGCTCTTTCAGAAGAGCAGGAAATGGGAGAATCTTTCTTTTCTCTTTATTCCACTATTTTATATCTGTGTCACTGAGTAGCCAAATTCAGAATGAAAAGAGATTAAGAACAGCTCAATATGGTCTTTAAAAAAACCTATATATTTGGGAAGAGTCGAATACCTTCTTACTGTAAAATACCTCCACTTCAGCTCAAATCAATGGCTGCAAACTTGATTCATGTATACAAGTGACATTAACCTAGGCAACTTCACAAAGGACAGAAAGGCACAGAGAAGAAAACCTTTATCTCATCTAGAGTGATAAAAACAATATAACAGAAGTTCCTCCTCAGGAAGGCTCCAATTCAATTCATCATAACTAAACAGATATAGATAAAATAAATTATTTTCCCAACTTTGCCTTGACAGTCAAATACTGAGAAAATAGAAGGAAAAAATCTTTTCTCAAATTTCACACACTCACATTCATCAAAAACAAATCAGGATTGAAATCAGTGATTTTTCCTCCCCTTAAACGGTTCAAGATCAACATACATTTAGTAAATGCTTACTACATGCCAGACACTGTGCTGAATTCTAGGAAGTCAAAGAAACACAAAAACATACAAACAAAAACAAAGCCCTTCCCCAAAGGGAAACTTATTCTATTGGTAGATAATGTTTAGATAAATAGAAGACATATACAGAGTTCATGAAGGTGATCTGAAAGAAGGTATTATCTGTTAGGTCTCAAGGAAATATCTTCTCTAAGAGATTGTCTTTTGAGTTAAATCTCAGAATAATAAATTACATAGAAAAATCATACAGTTCCCTTGCTAGAACGTACTTAAACAGAGCCATGCTGTACACACACACACACACACACACACACACACACACACACACACAGAGGATATAGCCAGATCCTTTAATCTCTAAATTTGATAGTCTTCATTCTTCTCTACATATCTTCAGCATTTGACACTGTTGACCTTTTTCTTCCGCTAGATAATGTCTCTTTTCTGGGCTTTCATGATTCAACTCTTCCCTAGTTATCTTATCTGTCTAACCACTCCTCTTAGTCTCCTTTGTTGTGTAATAATCCGTATCATGATCCCTGTGGATGTTACCCCAAATTTGACTTAGCATCCCTGTCTCTCTCTCTCTCTCTCTCTCTCTCTCTCTCTCTCTCTCTCTCTCTCTCTCTCTCTCTCTCTCTCTCTCTCTCTCTCTCTCTCTCTCTCTCTCTCTCTCTCTCTCTCTCTCTCTCTCCCTCCCTCCCTCCCTCATCTCATTTGATCTGATTCCATTCTATCTCATCCCATTCCATCCTACCCTACTTTACCCCATCTATTCCTATGAGTTTAACTATCATTTCTATGGAGACGTTTCTCATATACATCCAGCCTTAGACTTTCTCCTAAGCTTCAGTCTCACATGACAAATTGCATACTGGAAATTTACAACTGGATGTCCTGGAACTATCTTTAATTCAGCATGTTTCAAACTGAAAACAGTATCTTTCCTCCCAAGGCCTTCCCTATTTCCAACTTCGTTATTTCTCTTGACAACATAAGCACCTTTTTAGTCTCACAAGTTCAAAACCTCAGCATTGTCTTTGACTCTCACCCCCACCTTCATGGATAAAATCAGTTGTCAAATCTTTCTGTTTCTACATTCACAATATCACTCACATCTGACTCCTCTTGACTAACACAGATACTACCTTACTTCAGGTCCTTATCATTTCTCACAGCCTCTGAATTGGCCTCCTTAGTCACAAGTCTCTCAACATTCCATTCCACCTTAAAAACTATTGCTGAAGTAATTTTCCTTAAGTATAGACCTGACCATCACTCTTCTACTCAGTCAACTCCAGCGATGCTTTATTGTCTCTATGAGAAAAATTTGTCCTCCTCTATTACGGTTTCAATTTCTTGTACAACATGGCCCCAAACTATTTTTCTTGCCAAATTAGACATTGCTCTCTCTCCCACTCTCTGATCCAGTCAAACTGGTCTTCTATCTGTCCCTCATATGTAACACTCCGTATCTCATCTCCATGCCCTTGCTCTTACCATTCTTCATGCCTTCTCTCTACCTCAGAGAGTCCTTTTCTTCCTTTTAAGATCATTTTAGACTCAAGACCATGTTGTGGGTGAGGCCTTTCCTAATACCCCAACTCTCAGTGCAATTTTACAAAATATCTTCTCTTGAGCTCTTTTTAATGTGGTTGGATTTACTCATTTTATATCATGCATCATACATACATATACCCATGAATATATAGGTCTACACACACATGCACACACACACGCACACACACACTTATTGGCTGACCTGTTAGAATGTAACTTTCTTGAGCAGAAAAATTGCTTTATTCTTTGTCCTTGTACCTCTAACGCCTACACCACAGTGGTTGACTAAACATTTATTAACTTATTGATGGATGAAATATCCCAATTTTTTCACAAATGTTACTGGAGGTCTAAAACAGACTTTCCCTTAGGAGATTCTAAAGTCTTTCCTGCACAAAGCAACCACACAAAAAAACAACAACAACAACAACCAGAAACAGAATCACAGGGGAACAGGTTTTTACTGACCTGGAACCCACAACAGGGGAAGTCCAATCCTTGAAGAGGTGTGGAGTCCACAGTCAGCCACCTTCTCCAAGCCCCCTATTAGAGATTTAAAAGGAATCTCTCTTACCTCAAATAGGACCCCAAGAGAGGGAATGGGGGAAGGAAGTGGCCAGCAGTTTCTCCTCATCTCTCCATGTTTAGGAATCCCACTTCTGACACCAGAACTGTTATGGTAAGGAAACTCACTTTATTTCAATATAGAATGCAAGTCAGTAAAATGCCTTATTCTGTGTGCTGTTACAAATTAAAGCAGGGAAAAATAACCATCTATTGTCACACAGAGATGCATACCTCTATGAGATTACTGGGTGTTAGTAGGCTTCTGAATATAAGCAATTTCCCACAGGTATCTAGAGCATACAGAATAATATATTTTCATACTGGGCTTGCAACTGATTAGACATTGCTGTAAAAGGGCAGTGTGTTGTGTTTTGGGGAAGGGAAGTAGAGACTTCTTAATTTGCTAATCTTTCATTAGACTTGAATGTCTAAGATGTGATAAACTCTTGTCTTTTGGTTGTCCCTACACAAGAAATGGGGTAAAGGAAGGCAAAACAGGAGTTAGATGGAACTTTTCACTTCAACTTGTAATGGGTGAAGGGCTTACTCGAAGGTGACATTAATCATGCTACTAAAGAAACAGTAGAGTCACCCCCCCCACCATAGCAACACAATAATAGAAAATTAATTAATGTTATTGTATAAGAACAGGATGAAACATAAGAGAAAAAAACATTAACATATAGAATTATACCATCTTTAAGAGTGGAAATATTTAAGGTATCTTCTAAATGGAAACAGTAAAGAATATACATTTTTTCTCAGAATTTCATGGTGCCTTTACAGAAACTGACAACATATTAGTGTACAGAGAGGTTATAAATTCTTGTTAGAAAAATAAATTCTAAAAGCAACTTTTAGAGACAAGAAACAATACAAATTGTTAAGTATGACAGGGAGGACAAATAAAAAAAAAACAGACCTAAAAGAAACAATTGCAATATCTGAATAATGTATGGGTCAAAGAACAAATCATAGAAACAGTTAATAACAAGGTGAAATACAGTAATGGTGACACAGCATGGCAAAACATCTGAGATGCAACTAAAGCATTCCCCAGAGGAAAAATTATATCCCTGAGAGAGCAAAATAATAAAATAGAAAAAATAATATTAATGAACTAAATATGTGACTTTGAATGAATAGGAAATCCACAAATAAACAAACCTGAACTAAGCATAAAAGAGGAAGTTCTAAAAATTAAGGAGAAATGGATATGCTAGAAAACAAAAGACTATTGAAATGATAGAATTACATGATAGAATTTGAATAACTGACAAAATTGAATAGCTTTTAGCAAACTTGATTATCGAAAGACATGGAGGCAAGTTAAAATTAATATGAAATCATGGCAGAGAGGAAAAATAAAAAGAAGTATTAGATCAGGCCTGCACAACTTGCAGCCTAGGCAGCTTGCCACTTGCAGTATGCCAAAGGATTTCCCCTAGAAACAAAAGATGTTTTCCTCTACATTGTTTTTTGCTTTTTTTGGTGAGGCAATTGGGGTTAAGTGAGTTGCCCAGGGTCACACACCTAGTAAATGTCAAGTGTCTGAGGCTGGATTTGAACTTGGTTCCTACTGACTCCAAGGCCAGAGCTCTATCTACTGTACCACCTAGCTGCCCCTTTCCTCTACATTTTTTAAGGGCTGCCTGAAATCCTTTGGCAAGCTGCAAGCAGCTTGAGGGCCATAAGTAGATAAGTTGTGCAGGCCTGTATTAGACTGTCCTATAAAGAATAAGATGATAGTAGAGCAGAGTTAGACTGTGAGCTCCCTAAGAACATACTGGTTTTTGCCTTTCTTTGTGTTCTCTGTTCTTAGAATGATGGCACACAGTAAGGTCTGGCACATAGTAATGTCTTAATAAACGCTCGATGAAGACACAATTTGACTTAAACAAACAAATGAATAAAAAGATCCAAATTAAGAGAGATCTTAAATTATCCAATTTCAGGACAGGAAACTGGACTAGTTGCAAAGGAGCTATGAGAGGAAAACCTGATATCCTGGCCTAGATGGATTTCCTGGAAAATTCCATCAAATGTGTGAAGGATAATTAATATCTAATCCACAAATTATTTTCAAAAATAATTTGAGAAAAAACACTTTATTGAACTCTTTTATGAGAGGAATATAGTCCTTATACCTAAACTAGGAAGGTTAAGAAAACTATAGACAAATATTAAAAAACACCAATGAAAACATTTTAAATAACATCTCACCAAAAGCCTGCACTGCATGGGCTACTCAGCCAACTGCCGAATATTGATTAGGTGCTTATGGGATGCCAGGAACTGGGGATATACAAACAAATGGAATAATCTGTCTTTAAAACAAACTTAGTTTTCAGTACATTCTCAGTTTGTTTTTTCAGTAAGCATTCTAAGATTTTCTGTCCCTCTCCCTTTTATATCATATTGTTTTTAAGGTGACTTAAGAATTGATCATTCAATGATATCCCAATTGTGTCGCCTACAATATGTACCTCCTCTGTCCATACTTGGTGTAGTCTAAGTATTTCCCAGATCTCTCTTTTCTTCATTGCCTTCCCACTTCCTCTGTATATGCATCAAGGACTTTAATGGTGGAGGCCAAATGGGAGTACACATTTTTTGCAGATTTTCCCTCTCCTTTTCCATCTGGCTGTATTTTATCTTCTTCTTTTGGCCTCACAGGCCCTTTGCAATCTTTGTGTAGTTGAGTGTCTCACTTTTCTTAAACTTAGATCCTGATACTTTCTTGAAGCTAAGCAGATGCATGATGCCTATTGTCCAAAGTAGCATATACAGTGTGTATTCATGGGCTTGTAGTATGGAGACATCTTGTCCATCTGTCATCAGTGGTGTGTACATGTGTATGGGTGTAACATGGAGATGCTTCATTCATTCACCATGAGTGACGTGTGTGTAGCACATTCACGTTTGGTGTGCAAAGTCTACATTTTTGTCATTGTCAGGTAACTCCTATAAAGTCTCCAAATGTAGCTTGGTCTCCCTCCTAGAAAAAAAGGTGAAGAGTGCTGAAGAAGGAATTTTAAGACCACAAATTAACAAGGATAATAATGTGTTCCCCCTCCTCAAACAAATAAAGAAAAGGAAATGAGGCTGTGATGATGGGGAGAAAAGATTCCCCTTCCCCTCAAAGTTTTGGAAATGGGAGGGGGGAACAGTCTGTTTTTTTTTTTAGGAGGGTGGAAAGTGGGAGAATGTCACATAGGCAAGAAAAGGAAGGAAAAACCAATGGAGTATTGGCATATTAATAAGAATAAGGCCTTTTCCAAAGGGAGAAGAGCTATAGACTCTGAGGAGGAAGCAGTTGCTTGCACTCCAAGGAATTATGAATCAGAGACATAGGTTGTAGTGGGTAGGTGAGAGGTTATTGAGTAAGGGTCAGAAGAAGAAGAAAAAAATAATGGTGAATAGGGACTCCCTCTTTCGGGAACTCAAGAAGTTCTTTATATACCCATTAACATCAATAGCGAGGAAAGTCTAGAGTTATCAGAACAGATGACAACTCGTCACTTCAGCTGTCTCAGTGAGAGTACAGATGATACTGAGAGATGGGATCTGGGAAAATTTGGAAGAATTAAGAAGGCTTGGGAAAGAAACTAAAGACTTTGGAGGAGGGGCACAGGTGGTGTTTTTCACTTTTGCTTATTGAAGGCAAAGATTACAGAGAGAAAAACTGATTGGGAAATGAAGGCAAGACTACGAAGATGGTTTGAGAATGGAACTAGAAGGTCTGGATTGGGACTTGTAACCAAAAATGACTTGCTCTTGGCAAGGGGTGAATGGTACCCTAACAAAAGCTGGTAAGGGTATATTTGCCAAATGTATCACCAATCTAATCAAAAAGGTTTGAACTAAAAAGGGTGTGGGAAGGAGAAAACTGCCTACATCTAACCTCTAATCAAGCATGCCATAGAGAGAAACTGCAGTGAAAGAACCCTAGTGGTTGGGACACTGAGGAATTCGTAAGACCCCAAACCCAGAAGAGGAGTCTTTAGCCATTGATCTCAAATTCATGTACAGAGATGACTCCAATTTAGGCATCAAGGAAGATGAACTCAAAGTCCTAATTCAAAAAGGTATAGTTAAGCTAATGTATATCCCCCAGATTTTGTGAAATGGAACCAGGACTGGGCTACAGCCAGATTGAATAGGTTCCTTATTTGATTTTGTCTGTGACCATTTGCATCTTGGAAATCAGCAGACACTACTAATAAGGGCTTGGTTTATCATTTTCTTGATTGTCTTAGTTCTGAGGCAGCTAGGAAGACCTGAGTTCAAATCCAAATTCCAACACTTATTAGCTGTGTGACCCCAGGCAAGTCACTTAACATCTGTGTGCCTCAATTTCCTCAACTATAAAATGGGGATAATAACAGCACCTACCTTGCAGGGTTGTATCAAATGAGATACTTGTAAAAGCACTTAGCACAGTGCCTAACAGAGAGCAGGCCCTACTATATAATTGCTAGCTGTTATTATTACTGTCATTATTACTATTATGAGAGTAATGGAGAAAATATTAATAGCGTTAATTAAACTTAAAAGAGTGCTGTGCTTACATGTTTTTTTTTTCTTGGTGTGCCGATGGTTAAACACTTACCAGCACACCCACTCATACAGAACCCATTGGAATATGGCACCTGATATATACATCTTATTCAGACAAAGTTGGATTGATAACAGTTTGTCAAGTCAAGCCAAGTAAAGCTCAGGCAGCATAGCACTGTGCTTTAAGAACTTATATTCAAGTCAACAACTGTTTCCAAATTCATGTGAGAAAATGTAGTGAAGGAGGGGAGACATGAATACATCTGGGTGAACATTAAGTGAGGGAGCAACCTTGGTAATTTTGTCATTACAGTACATTACAAATCACCTTGACAGAAAGAGGAACTTAATGAAGAATTTGTTTAATGAAGTTCATGGGCTAAACATTTACAGGAGTGAGGGTTAGTCAGAAAGAGAAGAAAATCTTAGGGATGGCAATCTGAAGGTACAAAAGGATCCCATTCTGCTGAGGAAAACAAATGAGCTTTTTCTGAAGAGCTGGATGTGGATGCACAAGGAAGTCCCCAAACAACTCCAGTTTTTAAGGGCATGTCCAGGGGATGGGAGCAAGAGCAGGTGACAGAGGAAGGACACAAGACCATGGTACGGCACTCTAAGAACAGCACCAGAATGAGTTGGCAATACCAGCAAAGGCCAAAAAACAGAAGATTCTGGCTGCCGGACTCCACACCAGGATTTGTAGCAGGGCAAGAGTGGATGAAGCAACAGCTAAGCCCCTGAAGGGTAACTCGTTAGAGCCAGTGCAGTATGAATAGAGATGCGTATGCACTCCTCCATCCATTGGCTATACGACATTTGGAAGTGAACTTGAAAGGATAAATTTTATGTAGAAAGTTTTCCCTGGGAAAGCTTGAGCCCACTTTCTCCAGGGATCTTTATGGTATATTAGAGAGATTGTGTCCCCAGGTGTGCTCACTAAATCTTCTTAGTAAAGATTCATCACTACAAGCTAATTGATGGCAAGTTATTAGATGATACTGGGTCATTGGTAGTTAACAGTGGTAGAACACACTAGAATGGGGCCTCAAGTTGAAACCATCAAGGGTGCCCCTAGAATCAATATGGTGGATGTAGCTGGCCTCATTCTGGGAGAGAAAGTTCAGTGGCTAGCTAGATTTCAACAACAATAATTTGTCTTTTTCTAAACTTGTTTAAAACTCAGTTTCTGAAAGGCAAGCAATAAGCCCTTTAAGTCACCTGGTCATACTGAGCACCTACTATGTGCCAGGCACTGTGCTAAGTGCTGGGAAGTCAAAGAAAGGCAAAAGGTTATCCTTGTTCTGAAGGTACTCACAGTCTAATGGTGAAACAACATATAAAAATCGTATACAGAGAACTCATAGACAGAATAAATAAGAGGTGATCCACAGAAGGAAAAGATTTGCCTTAAGTGCCAGAGGGAGAGTAGAGGAAAGGCTCCCTGTCAAAGCGGGAATTTTCATGGCCCCAGGAGTCTCCAAAGGGAAATCTGGTTGGACTTTTGGAAGAAGTCAATCCATTTCCTATAATGAGGCCCACTAAAATTATTGTAACAAAAACATTTTTCATTGAGTCTTTCAGAGCTGTTCTCTATGGGAATCCAAGACTTCCTTGGCTTTGGGAAATGCTGAGCTCCCTCCCTTCACAGAGGCATGAAAGGGAACTTCAGGAATGGAGTCTATCCCCTGACTCTGCTGCCTTCTCCTTGCGCTGTGCTGTATGCCAAGCTGGTCTGGTGAATGCCTAGTGTTGTGTGGTAGACTGGTGGTTTTGAGGATATATTAGCCAATACTGTGCCTTCTACCATCTCATCTCTCCCCATGCCATAGCTCATGGGTGACATAGTGGTTGTAGCACTGGACCAAGGATCAGGAGGGCCCCAGTTGGAATTTGACCTCCAACACTTTCTAGCTGTGTGTCTCTTAGCAAGTTACAAGTCAGCCCCAATTTCCTCATTTGTAAATGGAGATAATAATGTATCTACCTAAAGTCAATGAGTTGGTATAATAAATAGAATTCTGGACTTGTAGTCAAGAAGACCTGAGTTCAAATGCACCCTTAGACACTTACTAGCTTTAGGAGCATGGACAACTCACCCTCTGCCCACCTCAGTTTCCTCACCTGTAAAATGGGAATAATAACACTCAATTCCCAGGGTTGTAGTGGGGATCAAATCAAATAATATTTGATATAGCCTTAAAATGTGATATAAATGCCAGTTGTCATCATCATCATCATCATCATCATCATCATCATCATCATCATCATTATAATTATCACAGAAAGGAGGAATTTGTAATGGTGAAGTAATTCCTAATTTGGTCACATGCCATCCATAAAAGTCCACTTTACCTGGATCACAAATCAGGGACACAGCATGCCTGTCCTATTTGGTATTTTTTTCCTGATTTAAGCCAATATTCTAGAAAGGTGGGACAAAAGCCAGAGAGGAAGGTCTTCATGGGTCTAAATGCACTCACCTACAGTCAGCTGGCCAGTGAGTTGCCCCAGGGCATTCCGGGCATTCAGGGTAACATTTCTGTCAGACTGTAAGACCAGCGGGCTGTCCTGGGAAACATGCAGAAAACAGAGAGGTGAAAAATGAAATCCGAGTCCAAGTATGCTCACAAGATCAACCTTCACTGGGTGGGGCTAGTCTGATGTGGCATGGGGAATAGCCTGAGTCTTAGTTTCCATGCAAGATGACGTAAAGAATCCAAGCACCCCCTGGGCCACCAGCCCAGAAGTGGCATCTTCTCATTTGTTTTTGTTCTGCTAGACTGTAACCTCCAGGAAGAAAGGGCAGAGCCCCACTTTTTTCTACACACATGTCACCCTCAGTGCTTGGCACAGAGTTCCACACACAGTAGATGCTTACTAACTGCTGAACAGTTTATCTTTGCCTTCTTGAAGTGGGCATTTCCACCTGTATGGAGCATGAGGTTAGAAGTGATGATAAAGATAAGGTCCCAGGAGAGACAGTTGGAGCATGGTACAGTGGCTCCAGTGAACTGCAGGTGGATTGTGATATGGAGAAGAAGCCCCCATTTCTATTATGGTGTGTGTATGCATGTGTATGTGAGGGGTGAGGGAAATGTAGTTGGTGGCTGAGGATGTCTGGGCCAAGATGCCTTTGGGCAGTTTTCTGGGTGTGTGAAAGACATTAATGGGAAAAGCAACAAACCTTTCTAATGTGGGATAATGATGGTGGAAGGCCATTCTGAAATGCAGGAATTGAAGAAACAATTCCATTTAATTTGGTAGTGTTTATGAATGATTGTGCTCATCACTGTGCTAGACATTCTTAGAAACAGAAAAGAAAACACAGTCCCTTATACTACTGTTAGCCCATGCTATACATGTAAAGGTCTCTTGAGGAAGTGCTTGATTTAATGAATTTAGAGGCTCATTGACCATGTAACCTAGTGGGAGAGGCCATTTATTCATCAGCAAAAAGAGCCAAATTTGCAAAAAGAAAAACAATGAAAAAGACCTAAGCCATGGACTGTCATGGCCCCACTCTTATATAACCTTACTTAGGGCTTACTGAACCTCACTGGGCTGAACCTCAGTTTCTTTCCCTCTAAGATCCCTTCCAATTCTAGTTTCTTTTCCCACATTTATCCATCTTGTCCCAAATCAGAAAAGGAAGTCTCAAAATTTGAGCCTGGAACACTGGCCATAGTTCACTGACTTACCCAGGACATTTACCGACGCCTATTGATTGTCAGACTTTAACACTGGTGATCTCAGTCATTTATCACCAAATGGTCAATGTTGACATGCAGTCTGGCCTATTCAGTCCAGGTTGGTAGCCTGATTATAGGCATCACCACTTTTTTTTTTTTAATTTAAATTTTTTAATTTTTTCCATATGCTTTTGAGTTGAAAATTTTTCTCCCTTCCCCCCCCTTCCCAAGATGACGTACAATCTGATACAGGCTTTACATTTACATACCCATTAAACATATTTTCACGTTAGTGAAGTTGTAAGTAAAAATTAAAACCAATACAAGGAACCATCAGAAAGATGAAACAAAACTCAACAGAAAGTAAAAATAGGTGAGAGTGATTCGACTTCCATAGTTCTTTCTTTGAATGTGAACAGCATTTGCCATCCTGAGGCCTCTGGAAATGTCTAAGATCCTTGTAATGCTGAGAAGGGTCCAGTTTAACAATCTTAGTCATTGCATAACATGGCTGTTATTGTGTACAAAGTCCTCTTGGTTCTACTCACTTCACTCAGCATCAGTTCATGTAAGCCTTTCCAGGTTTTTCTGAAGTCAGCCTGTTCATCATTTCTTATAGCACAATAGTATTCCATTACATTCATATACCACAACTTGCTCAGCCATTCCCCAATTGATGGGCATCCTCTCAATTTCCAATTCTTTGCCACCACAAAAAGAGCTGCTATGATATTTTTGTACATGTGGGTCCTTTTCCCATTTGTTTGATCTCTTTGGGATATAGCCCTAGAAGTGCTATTGCTGGATCAAAGGGTATGCACATTTTTGTAGCCCTTTGGGCATAGTTCCAAATTGTTCTCCAAAATGGTTGGATCATTTCACAACTCCACCAACAATGTATTAGCGTTCCAATTTTCCCACATCCTCTCCAACATTTATCATTTTCCTTTTTTGTCATGTTGGCCAATCTGATAGGTGTGATGTGGTACCTCAGAGTTGTTTTGATTTGCATTTCTCTAATCAATGATTTAGAGCATTTTTTCACATGACTATAGATGGCTTTAATTTCTTCATCTGAGAACTGTCTGTTCATATCCTTTGACCATTTATCAATTGGGGAATGGCTTGTGTTCTTATAAATTTGTCTTAATTCTCTATATATTTTAGAAATGAGGCCTTTATCAGAAGACTGGTTGTAAAAATTCTTTCCCAATTTTCTACCTTCCTTCTAATCTTAGTTGCATTGGCTTTGTTTGTGCAAAAACTTTTCAATTTAATGTAATCAAAATTATCCATTTTGCTTTTCATAATGTTCTCTATCTCCTGTTTGGTCATGAATTCTTCTGTTCTCCATAGATCTGATAGGTAAACTATTCCTTGTTCTCCCAGTTTACTTATGGTATCAGCCTTTATATCTAAGTCCTGAACCCATTTTGACTTTATTTTGGTATATGGTGTGAGATTTGGGTCTATGCCTAGTTTCTGCCATACTCTTTTCCAGTTTTCCCAGCAGTTTTTTTCAAAGAGTGGGTTCTTATCCAGAAGCTGGGGTCTTTGGGTTTATCAAATAATAGATTACTATAGTCATTGACTACTGTGTCTTGCATATTTAACCTATTCCACTGATCCACCTCCCTATTTCTTAGCCAGTACCAAGCAGTTTTGATGATTGCTGCTTTATAATACAATTTAAGATCTGGAATTGCTAGGCCACCTTCCCCTGCATTTCTTTTCATTAGTTCCTTTGATATTCTGGACCTTTTTTTTTCCAAATGAATCTTGTTATTATTTTTTCTAACTCTATAAAATAATTTTTGGTAGTTTGATTGGTATGGCACTGAATAAGTAAATTAGCTTAGGTAGGATTGTCATTTTTATTATATTAGCTGGCCTACCCATGAGCAACTGATGTTTTTCCAATTATTTAGATCTGATTTTATTTGTGTGAAAAGTGTTTTGTAATTGTGTTCATAGAGTTCCTGGGTTTGTTTGGAGGTAGACTCCTAAATATTTTATAATGTCTACAGTAAGTTTAAATGGGATTTCTCTTTCTATCTCTTGCTGTTGGGCTTTGTTGGTAATATATAGAAATGCTGATGATTTATGTGGGTTTATTTTATAGCCTGCAACTTGCTAAAGTTGTTTATTATTTCAAGTAGTTTTTTACTTGATTCTCTAGGATTCTCTAAGTATATCATCATGTCATCTGCAAAGAGTGATAGCTTTGTTTCTTCTTTGCCTATTATAATGCCTTCAATTTCTTTTTCTTCTCTTATTGCTAAAGCTAAGTTTCCAGTACAATATTGAATAACAGTGGTGATAATGGACATCCTTGTTTCACCCCCGATCTTATTGGAAATCTTCTAGCCTGTCCCCATTACATATATGCTTGCTGAAGTTTTAGAATATGCTATTTATTATTTTAAGGAAGACTCCATTTATACCTATGCTTTCTAGTGTTTTTAATAGGAATGGGTGTTGTATTTTATCAAAAGCTTTTTCTGCATCTATTGAGATGATCATGTGGTTTCTGTTGGTTTTGTTGTTGATATGCTCAATGATGCTGATAGTTTTCCTAATATTGAACCAACCCTGCATTCCTGGTATAAATCCTACCTGGTCATAGTGTATTATTCTTGTGATAAGAATCTACTTGCTAGTATTTTTTTAAAATTTTTGCATCTATATTCATTAGAGAAATTGGTCTATAATTTTCTTTCTCTATTTTGACTCTTCCTGGTTTGGGTATCAGCACCATATTTGCATCATAAAAAGAATTTGGTAAGACTCCTTCTTCACCTATTTTCCCAAATAGTCTATATAGTATTAATTAATTGTTCTTTAAATGTTTGATAGAATTCGCATGTAAATCCATCTGGCCCTGGAGATTTTTTCCTAGGGAGTTCATCAATGGCTTGTTCAATTTCTTTTTCTGAGATGGGGTTATTTAAGTATTTTACTTCCTCTTGTTAATCTGGGCAATTTATATTTTTGTAAATATGTATCCATTTCACTAAGATTGTCAAATTTGTTGGCATATAGTTGGGCAAAAAATTCCTAATTATTGTTTTAATTTCCTCTTCCTTGGTGGTAGCTTCCCCTTTTCATTCTTGATACTAGTAATTTGGTTTTCTTCTTTCTTTTTTTTAATTAAATTAACCAAAGGCTTATCTATTTTATTTTTTTTTCATAAAAACCAGCTCTTAGTTTTATTTATTAGTTGTTTTCTTAATTTCAATTTTATTAATTTTTCCTTTGGTTTTCAATATTTCTAATTTGGTGTTTAGTTGAGGATTTTTAAGTTGTTCTTTTTCAAGTGTTTTTAGTTGTATGCCCAATTCATTAATCTCCTCTTTATACTTTATTCATGTAAGCATTTAGAGATATAAAACTTCCCCTGAGAACTGCTTTCGCTGTATCCCATAGGTTTTGGTATGTTGTCTCAGTATTGTCATTCTCTTGAATGAAATTATTGATTGTTTCTATGATTTGTTGTTTGACCCAATCATTTTTTAGGATTAGATTATTTAGTTTCCAATTATTTTTTTTATCTTTCCATGGCCCTTTATTACATATAATTTTTATTGCATCATGATCTGAAAAGGATGCATTTAATATTTCTGCCTTTCTGCATTGGATTGTGAGGTTTTTATGCCCTAGTACATGGTCAATTTTTGTGTATGTGCCATGTACTGCTGAGAAAAAAGTATATTCCTTTCTATCCCCATTCAGTTTTCTCCAGAGGTCTATCATACCTAACTTTTCTAATGTTCTATTCACCTCCTTAACTTCTTTCTTGTTTATTTTGTGGTTAGACTTATCTAGTGCCGAGAGGGGGAGGTTCAGGTCCCCCACTAGTATAGTTTTGCTGTCTATTTC